TGAGAGGAGAGGAGAGGAGAGGAGAGGAGAGGAGAGGAGAGGAGAGAAGAGAAGAGAAGAGAAGAGAAGAGAAGAGAAGAGAAGAGGAAAAAAAAAAGGTCCTTATTCATAGTGTTTGGTTTGGTTTGTTGTTTTTTTTTCCTTTTTAAATGATAAATTGCAAGTCAAGGAGCTTCTCTTCAGGGCTGAGAGCCTGAATCCACCCCGGGAGCGAGGGCGGTGGGAGATATCGCCCGCGTCCCTCGCCAGGAAAGCCAGATCTGCTCATTTCCATACGCATAATAATGCAATTACAAAGTCAGCCCAAACCTGCCGCGCAGACAAAGGGAAAAAAAAAAAGACGGCTTCGTAATTAATCACACGTGTAAGAACAAAGCCTGATACATTAGGGTTCGTTATTTGGTGGATTAATTAAAAAAAAAAAAAAAAGGAAAAAAAGAAGAAGATTTTTCTGCAATGGCAAATGTGTTATGAGGCTGCAAAGTCTGGAAATAGCTCGTAGGTGCGTGGCAGCTCCTGTTGTGCTGCCAGACACCCCTGCATTATTCAACTGGGCCGGCTGCTGGTTTAACTGGGCTGTGAAATCGCTGGAGCTGGTGCCCCGTTTCGTTTTCCGAGGGCGCGGGACGATGGAGAGGGGGTCTTGGGGCGGCCCTGGAGGGGTGATGCCCCCCACTAGAAATCCCCTCCAGGCTGGAAATCTGTTTTTTTGCATCCACCCCCCTCGTCGTCGAGCTCTTTATGGTTTTCCCCCTTCTTTGGGCACTCACCAAGCACTTCACTAATGGACGCGGCAGAAGCGATAACGACTTTCAAATCCAAAGTCTCATTTAGTGGGAGCGGAGTTACAGGCTCCAACACCCCTTCCCCTTGCGTTTCCACTAAATCCTCATTTGCATTTAAATTACAAAGGTAATTTGGGCCGGGGTTTGAGCCGCTGGGCTATTAAAATAAAACTCTATCTCGATGACCAGAGGGACGCCTGGAGTGGCACCGGAGCGGTGCAAAGCCTTTTGGTTACCTGGACGTGGAAAATAACCTCAGTTAAAAGAGGCTCAGGATTTCACAAAAGTGGGTTTTCCCAGCACGGGAGAGTTCGTAAAACTTTAATTTAGACGTAGTCCCTCTTCCATCACCCCCCCAAAACACCCCCCTGAGCAGGACCCTGCCCCTTTTCAGTGCCTGAGTCAAAGGAGAGCTGGAAACTGCTTGCGATCTCAATTATTTATTAATATTTTTTTTTTAGAAAGCATGGTTCCTATACAGAAATGTCAGCAAAAGCCCAAAATGACGAGGGCTGGAGCTGGAAATCCTGGCTGAAGCTCAGGAGGTCCCGAGCTCCATCACACACAGAGTAGCAGGGGCTGCTATAGAGGGGGGTGGGCTGGGGGGACTTTAATTACATACAGCTATAGACAGAGAGATATACAGGTATAAATATATATATATAAATACACAGAGTGCCCTCCCAGCATCCCAGCCGCGGCACGGCTCTGCCCGGGCAGACACAAGCTCCCAGTGATGTTTCCCTGGGTCAGGATTTGACCCCAGTTTCCCAGCCCGAACGAGGAGCTGGTGGAGCTGGTTTTTGGGTGGGAGAAGCTGGACCAGCCCTCGGGGTCCTGCCAGGATGCAGCTGGAACAGGCAGGGGGTGATGCTCTGGCATCACGAGGGCTCCGGTGCGGCGGTTGCCATCAGCATCCCCTTTTCCCCAGGAATATTCTATTCCTTTTTATTATTTTATTTTTTTTTTTTTTAATTAAGCAAAACCTAAGCTCAGAAAAGCCAGGATCCATCCCCAGCTCCCAGCTCTGCCCGAGCGTGGCTGCGTTTAAAAAAATCATGACTTGAAGCCTTTTAACCCACTTTAAGGCCGTTGCAGACACATCTCCCAGCAGGTTGGGAATTTGGCAGGGCCCCCCCCCCCAGACAGAAGGATCCTGTGGGGAATGGGAAATGGGGTGGTTGAGATTTCAGGAAGGGTGGCCAAGCTGCCCACGAAGTCCTGAGCCAACCTGGTGGCTTGGTGTCCCCCCCACCAACACGATGGTGTGTCCTCCAAGGGGCTGCACTGGGGCAGAGATGCCCCCTCCATGGGTGATGGGGGTCACCTCCCCTGTGTCCCCCCTTTTCTTCACTGTGGTCTCAGCAGCCACCACTGCTGGGGTTGGAAATGATGTTCTCCTCCTGCCTTTACCAGCCTCGAGCACGGGGTCAGTATTTCTTGGGGACACTGAGGCACTGGCTAAGGTGGGTTAAAGAGATCAGTGATTTGGGGTCATCACATTTTTTTGGGGGGCTACCCCCCACATCGAGATATCAAGAAGGAATTCAGCTTCATGCTCTCAGCAGCCACCACTGCTGGGGTTGGAAACTCCTACCTTTACCAGCCTTGAGCATGGGGTTGGTATTTCTTGGGGACACTGAGGCACTGGCTAAGGTGGGTTAAAGAGATCAGTGATTTGGGGTCATCACATTTTTTGGGGGGGCTACCCCCCACATTGAGATATCAAGATGGAATTCAGCTTCATGCTGAAGCCTGGAGTGAAACCCAAGATGTTCTGGTTCACAGCGTGGGACATCCCACCCTGGTCATGACATCCAACCCCTGCTAGGACATCCCAACCCTATCAGGAGATCCCACCCTGGGCCACCCCACCCTTGCCAGGACCTTGCCATGAACCAGCTCCAAACCAAGAGCCTTTCCCACCCCAGGGGTTTGCCCACAGGGTGGGTGGTGGTGGAGAGCTGAAGCCACCCCAGGGGTTTGCCCACAGGGTGGGTGGAGGTGGAGAGCTGAAGAGTGGTCTCCAACTCCTTCTGGACACCTTGGTCTCTCTTCTCATGGAGCTGAAGCTCAGCCTCGTAGGACCCTGGGTTTTTTTTCCCCCAATTCCTGCTCTGGAGCTGATCCTGCTCACTCTCCCACACCTGATGCTCCACAAGCAGCCAGGCTTGTGTCAGCAGAGGATGAGGAGACCACGTGTGGTCCTGCTGGTGGTCCAGGACTCCATCTGTGCTCGCAAAAGGATCCCGAGGAGCCCTGGGTGGGAGATGGAGACGTCTGGGCTGATGTAACACCGAGCAAGAGGTGGGGGGACACGGAGCGGGTGGACGAGGAGATCGTTCGCACGATTCATTTGAGACCCGAATGGGCAATTTGACCCTTTTTGGTTTGTTTGAAAAAAAGAAATGGGGTTTGGCTGCCTCGTCAGCTCTGCTTTCCTAACGGGGAAGCTGCAATTTCCACGGGCTCCGGAGAAAGGTAGGGCTGGAAAGGAGAGGTAATGGCCTTGATTAGGCTAAATTGATGCAACTGGAAAAACCAGAGACGCAACCCAGGCTCTCCATCCAGCCCACGAGCCCCAGGTGCACCCAGGCGCCCGCCTGCTTCCTCCAGCTGCATCAATTTATCCACTAAATGCTATTACCGCTTCCTCCCAGCCTCCTCCTCCTCCTCCTCAACCTGTTTGACCTCCTGGTTGCAGCCGTGGTGGTGGGAAGGTGAGAGGGAGGGGAAGTCGTGGATGCTGGTGAGGGGGGATTCAGGGAGCGGAAGGTCAGGAGGACCCATCAGTCATCGTTTAGCAGCAGATAAAGTGGTCCAGAGGTCCCTGGCTGGTGGCTCCTGCAGGATGTGCTGCTTTGGAGCTCGGCTGCTTCTTCGGAAGGATGGTTGCTCCATCCAGGTGAGCGTTGAGTGTGAGATCCCCAAATCTCTGCCTCTGGCAGGCTGTGGGTCCTTTCTCAGCATTCACACGACCTCTGTCCCTGCTTGGGGGAATAACAAAACCATGGTGATGCTTTTCCCATCTTCTATTTCAAAAAACAACCAACAACATCTCCTTTTTGGCTTTGCTGAAGGAACTGTGGGCAGTGTGGTTGCTCATCCTTCACCCGACGGGCAGGGGAGGCAGAGCCCTCTCAGCGCTGCCCGTGAGTCCATCCTAATTGCTTTAGCGCTGCGAGAAACTCCTCGAGTCCCCACAAATTGCTCTCTTAATGAGATATTTCTCAAGCTTAATGTCACTGGAGGCCGAAGGGTGAGGAGAGGTTCCCCGTCACCCTGATGGATGCTGGGCTGGGGAGAATTTGGCCTCGGCACGTGGATGTGGGGTGAGCTCGGGACATGCCCTGCTCCCCACCGGTCCCCTGGCCGCGTTCCCGGCATCGCATCCGTGTCTAGGGCTGCCCTGGCTGCAGTCAGAGGTCTCTAAATAATACAGGAATGACTTTAAGAGCAGAAAGTTGTCCTCGGGGGGCCAGTCCCGGTTTGAAGGACTCCACTAAATTTTTTACTGTGGATTTGGAGCTCTTTGATAACACTCTCTCTGAAGCGGCATCATTTTCTCTTCCCGTTTCTGGCTGGTTTTTGGACGCAACCCAGAGGGGGACAGAATGAGGTCCCAACCCCTGGAACTGTCCTCTTCTGCCACAGGAGCTTTTCCTCTCTTGCCTCAGACTGTGATGCCGTCTTGGCCCATGTAGGAGAAGAAGCACGTGGTCATTGCAATCGTGGTGTCCCAGGATGCTTGGGCTTTGCTGAGAGCCACATGAAAGAGGGTGACAACCCTTGTCAAGGGGCTGCCAGGTCTACCCGTCTGCAGTGGGAGCAGCAACAGAGCAGCTCCACCCAGGTTTCCTCTCGTTTTGGTCCTCTCCCTACATCTCTCGGTGAGTCCTGATTCCTCCATCTTGGGTTCTCCGAGATGAAAAAGTCTTTGAGGCCACCGCTCTGCGCTAGAGCTCCGTGGTGGTGACCTGGGTGACTTCTGAGCGCAGGTCGTCCCCTCCGTGGCCCCGGCAGCCCCGCTGGAGGCTGCCCACGTCTAGTCATGCCGGCTTGTTGCGGGCTTCGGAAGGGGTGCAGGTGGAGACCCGTTCCCTTGTGGTGTTTCTGGCACGGGAGAAGCTGTTCTGGTCCACACGGGCTCGGAAAGGCAGGCAAAACTCCCGGAAACACCTCTTGAAGTTCTCATCCAGGAAAGCGTAAAGGACGGGGTTGAGGCTGCTGTTGGTGTAACCCAGGGCGATGCAGAAGTGCAGGCTGGCCACCACGTAGGGGTTCTTCTTATCTATGTCCACCAGCGTCCAGACGATGACGAAGATGTGGATGGGTGTCCAGCAGATGATGAAGGCTGCCACCACCACCAGCACCATGCGCGTGATGCGCCGCAGGTTGCGGTCTTTCTCCTTGGAGCCCGAGAGGAGGCGGACGCTCTTCAGGCGAAGGATCATCAGTCCGTAGCAGATGGTGATGACCAAGATGGGGACCATGAAGGCGAAGATGAAGACGCAGATCTTGGTCACGGTGTCCCAGTAGATGGGAGGATCGGGAAACTGGAGAGTGCACAGCACCATCCCGTCTGTGGGAGAGAGGACAATCAAAGAGGGAGCCAGTGGAGTGTCTTCTATGAATAACATCTGCTTGGTCATGGCTGTTATGTTTGGTCACAGCATGTTCACGCTTGTTAAAAACACAAGGGGACCCGTGTCCACCCACCAGCTCTTTGGAAACATTCCCCAAGTGCTTTGTGCCACCAGCCCCCTGCCCTTGGGGTGCTGATGGGATGTAGTGGGTGCAGTGACCTTGGGACTTGCTCCCTGCAGAGTCTCCTGGGTCACCCCACGCTCTCTCCTCCCAACCCCTGTGGTAGACATGACGCCATACCACCTTCCACTGAAACCTGTCCACTTTCTCAAGGTGCCCAGAGCTTTCCTAGCAGCCAAGGGACATCCCACCCAACATCTGCAGACCTTAGTGTGGGACAGCTGGGCACTTTGCAACACCAGTAGAAGTGTTTTTAGGCACCTGATTTGCACCCCAGGAGCTGGGGAGAGGCACTGGTTGGCCTGGGGAAGCGGGAGGACAGTTTCTGGGACAGTTTCCAACCTCGGCAGCCAAGATGTAAAATAGCACCATGAAGACTTTCCATGGCAGGGCATGATTATGGCCTCACAGAGGGGTGTCCATCACTGAGCTCAAACCTTCTACAGGATCAGGGTTTGCCAGGAGGGTCATCCCCTGGATGGACAGATGGGACATGAGGGGACCTTTCCCCAGAAACCACTTGCCTTTTGACTTGGTGACCGCCATGGCCATGATGGGCACCCCGATGAGGGAGGAGAGGACCCAGATGCAGACATTGATGATCTTGGCCTTGGCTGGCGTGCGGAAGTCCAGGGCCTTAACTGGGTGGCACACAGCGATGTAGCGGTCCACGCTCATCATGGTGAGGGTGAAGATACTGGTGAACATGTTGTAGTAGTCAATGGAGAGCACGACTTTGCAGAGCAGCTCCCCGAAGGGCCAAGTCTCCATCAGGTACTTGGCGCTCTGGAAGGGCAGCGTGCTGGTGGCCAGTGCGTCTGCCAGGGCCAGGTTGAAGATGTAGATGTTGGTGGCTGTCTTCATCTTGGTGTACCTGGGGGTGGAAGAGAAGGGAGCCGTTACGGCTGGTCGGGACTGGCTCACCATGGCCAAGTGTGTGTGTGGGCAGTCAACGTGATGAGGAGGGAGCACAGCCTGGCTTTCCCTGGCTGCTCCCAAGATGCCATCGCCCTTGGTGGGCACAGACAGGCTTGTGACGTACCCTTCTGCAGCACCAATGTGCTCAGCACCTTTCTGGATGGACTGTGGAGCATTTTGAGAAAGGTCTTGTGTTCATGCGTGGTTTTAGTGTGTGTTGAAGTCCTGGTGCCTGAGCACGAGGTTGCACGCACACCTGAGACCTTACCCAGCACCTGCAGAAGGTGGCTTAGAACCCACCAAAGAGGCTATTCCTTCCCTGACCAGGGAGGGGACACTCATTCCCGTGGCTGCCTTTATTCAAAGGAAATCTGAAGACATTTTCAGAGAGGTCGCTTCTCTAATTAAATGGATTTACTCCATTTCCCCGAATCAGTTGCACAACGTCCTCTACCTCCTGAAATCTCCCTTATCTGATTTTCCACCCGGTAAATCGTGATTATCTGGCTTGCTTCCCTGTCGAGTTTACTTGCAGAAATTGGATCGATTACCCCCGGAAACAGGCCATCTGGAAGCAGCCCAATTAGCCAGCCTGGAGCTCCAGAGCCTTTGGGGGAAGCCTGGCCACCTCAGCCACAGCATGTGGCTTGGGGTCACCGTGCCACATCCCCCGGGGGCATTCGGCAAAGGCTGTGGCCACCAGAACACCAGCTCTGGTCCTGGTCACATCACCGTAAGAGAAACACCAGTTCTGAGTGTAGAAACCCTTCCTGAAGGGATGGGACATCACCTTGGTGGGTGCTGGGGGTGGGTGCGTGTCCTCAGAGCACCCAGCCTTGCAGGGGTTGCTCGAGGTGATGCTTTGGATGGTGCAGTTGGTTTGAAAGGGAAGTTCATCCCCGCTGCCCAGGGGACTGTTGGGGGTCCCCATAGGGCACCACATTGGGGTTGGGTTGGGGTGGGGGCTCTGCGGCCACCCCCAGGTTGTTTGCTAGGATGAAGAAAATCAGGACAAGAGGAAATGGGCACAAACTTGGGTATAAGAAGTTCCACCTAAACATGAGGAGGAACTTCTTTCCTGTGAGGGTGGCAGAGCCCTGGCAGAGGCTGCCCAGGGAGGTGGTGAAGTCTCCTTCTCTGGAGACATTCAAACCCACCTGGACACGTTCCTGTGGGACCTGCTCTGGGTGGCCCTGCTCTGGCAGGGGGTTGGAGGAGATGATCTCCAGAGGTCCCTTCCAACCCCATATGCTACCCCATTGCTACACCAGCAGCTTGAAACCTCCCCATGCCCTCCCTTCCAGCAGATCCCCGTTCCTCAGGTCCCTTCCAACCCCATATGATTCTATGTCAGGGCTATACCAGCAGCTTGAAACCTCCCCATGCTCTCCCTTCTAGCAGGTCCCCGTTCCTCAAAGCATCCCCCGCAGCCCTGAGCTCATTTAGATGCACCCTCATTAATTAACAAAAGTGTCAGTTTGAATGCAAGCATCTCCATGCTTGGCTAAACCTGCCTGTAGCATCCCCCGGGTGGGGGTCCTAGATGGTGGGGAGGGAGGGGGGGCTAAATTTGGCCCTGGAGCACGGGGGAGACAGCCCCTTGGTTGTTAGATGACACTGGTACAGCTTGTAGAAGAACCCCATGGTGTGATGGGGTTAAACTGGAAGAGATGGAGCTGAGATGTGGGGAAGAACTTGTTTGCTGTGAGGGTGGTGAGAGCCTGGCCCAGGTTGCCCTGAGAAGCTGTGGCTGCCCCATCCCTGGAGGGGTTCAAGGGCAGGTTGGAGGGGGCTTGGAGCAACCTGGGCTGGTGAGGGGTGGCACTGGGTGGTCTTTAAGGTCCCTTCCAACCCAAACCATTCTGTGATTTTATGGGGTACATGGAGTAAATTGGGATGAGGACATCGAGTAGCTCCAATCTCAGAAGGTGGATGCTCTGCCACGCTTGCTGGAGACCAGAACAGGCTGGTGTAGGAAAAATGTTCATGAGCTCGATGATAATATCAATTCCCTTCACTTTACCCTTTTCTCCATCTCAGGAGGGTCAGGAGAGCGTGTTGGTGGGGGGAGAGACCCCCCTGGGCTTCGCTGTCAGCAGAGTCAGGAGATGGAGGCTGCAAAACCCAGTTCCCCCTGGAAGAAAAGAGCAGCTGGGACCAGCACCCAGCTCCAACAGCATCCCCTCCTCCTCCACCTCGGCTGCAAATGGCAGCCCCTCACCCGAGGGTGGAAATACTTGAGTTGAACTTGTCTTTATTTTAAATACGGCATAAAAAAAAAAAAAAAAAAAAACACCTTGTCTTTTCCTGGAAAAGCCCTTTTCAGTTCTCCTCAGTGTTATTTTACAAGCTCTTTTGCGAGCACGTCTCTTAAAAAAGTTTCATTCCAGGTTAAACAAAAACCTAAGAATTTGTGGTGTTGGGCAGGATGGGGTTGTGCTGGTGAGGGCAAAGCAGCGATGGGGATGGCTGGGATGATGGGGATGACTGGGATGATGGAGATCACAGAATCACAGAATCTTCTAGGTTGGAAGGGACCTTAAAGATCATCTTGTCCAACCGTCAACCTAACTGACAAAAATAGACACCCACACAACAAACAAAAAGCAACACCATCACTAAACCATACCTCCCAGCACCACATCAACCCCTCTTTTGAACACCTCCAGGGATGGTGCCTCCACCACCTCCCTGGGCAGCCCATTCCAATGGCTGAGAACCCTTTCAGTGAAAAAATTTCTCCTAATATCCAGCCTGAACCTCCCCTGGCGTAACTTGAGGCCATTTCCTCTCGTCCTGTCGCCTGGGACTTGAGAGAAGAGACTGACCCCCACCTCTCTACACCCTCCTTTCAGGGAGTTGGAGAGAGCAATAAGGTCTCCCCTCAGCCTCCTCTTCTCCAGGCTGAACACCCCCCGCTCCCTCAGCCTCTCCTCATAAGACTTGTTCTCCAGACCCCTCACCAGCTTTGTCGCCCTTCTCTGGACCCGCTCCAGCACCTCAATGTCTTTTTTATGGTAGGGGGCCCAAAATTGGACACAGCACTCGAGGTGGGGCCTCACCAGTGCCCAGTACAGGGGGACCATCACCTCTTGGGCCCTACTCCCCACGCTGTTCCTGATACAGGCCAGGATGCTGTTGGCCTCCTTGGCCACCTGGGCACACTGCTGGCTCCTGTTCAGCCAACAGTTGACCAACACCCCCAGGTCCTTTTCTGCTGGGCAGCTCCAGCCACTCTGCCCCCAGCCTGTAGCACTGCAGGGGGATGATGGGGATGACTCAATTTGTGCCCCTGACCAAGGGTTTTGGGGCAGGATTTGGCCCCCTCCAGGGCTGGGCTGAGGGTCAAACCCACTGCACAGGGTGGGGAGGGTCCATCATGGTTTTCCCCCCCCACCAACCTGCAAATGAAGCCGCTGCTCCAGGGAAGAGCTTCATCCCACCACGGCCCCTTCTGCTGATGGAGCTCCCCGGGCTGCCTGAACCCATCGTAATTAAGCCAGTGCCTTGATTGGAAAGTTACACACTTGAACCAAACAATCTGGAAGGTGTTGAGGGAGAGATGATGCTCGAGGGGGAGGGGGGGGGGGGGGGGGGGGGGAGGGGGGCTCTGCATCCCGATATCCCAGCAGCGATGCCAGCATCTGGACTCCCAGGTGGGAACCCTTTTAGCTCTTGGGGGAAAAAATAAATCAGCAGAATAAAACCCATCAGAAAACTCCCAGAGGTGGTCAAAGCCACCACCCTGGGCTTAAAGATCCTGGGCCCAGCAAAGAGGGTGTCCTGGCAGACTTGGGGGGGGACGGGACATGGACAGCGGGGGTTTGATGGGCTCCACGTGGCTGTGGGTGCTCACCAGCCTGAGCTCGCAGCTGCAAATCACTTCCAGGGGTATTTTTAAAAGCTCCTGATGATGATGCAGTGGTAATTGCAATGCTGGTCACCGTCAGGGCTGTCGGAGGGGGCTGGGGGGAGTTGAGCTCCCCCCTCCCCGGGCAAGGCATGCTTTGGGTTTGGGCTGTGCTGGGGTCTCCAGGATGGGGGGAAAGAGGTGCTGGGTGCCCCTTTGGGAGCTCAGCTGGGGCAGCAGCACACGATGATATCAATTCCCTTCACTTTACCCTTTTCTCCATCTCAGGAGGGTCAGGAGAGCGTGTTGGTGGGGGGAGAGACCCCCCCCCAGGTCCTGGGTGTACCTGCTCCGTGGCTCACACGGGCTCTGCAGCATCCTCAGCGCTGCGTCCCCAGGGACCCCGAGGTCCCCAAGGATGCTCCCAGCCATGCCTGCAGGCTGGAGGTGACACCAGGAGATGTCCCCGGGGCCAGAAGGCAGATTCCCAGCTTTTCCCTGGCAGGGAGGTCTGAACCTGAGCTGATCCCGTTCCAAAGCCCCATCCCATACGGACACCAGTTTCCCCAGTGGAGCCAAACCAGTCCCAGCCTAAACCCTGCCGAGGTGGGGCAGCTCCACCAGTGAAGCCCCATCAAACTCCAGGGGCAAAAAGGCGCTCACCGGGCTCTGCGTGTCCCCACAGCCCCGGGGGCTCGGAGGACAGCCTTTAATTCTGGTTTAATTAAGATGCATTTAATTCCAGTATCTCAATGTGTTGAAAAAGGGGCTAGAAACCACGGTGGTGGGATCTGTGGATGCTGTCGAGTCGGGCTTTCAGCATCACGGGCAGTGAATTAAATGGGGAGGATGTTGTTTGCACGTTAAAACCTTCTCTTGAAAATGCCTTCCCTCTTCTCGCCGAGCAGAACCAGCTGGAGGGGGGTCTAATAACCCTCATCCTTCACCGTGACACCGTACGTGGCGTGTGGCTCTGCAACAATTACCTTCATTTGCTTTTTTAGTCTAGGGATGATTTTTTTATTTTTTTTTTTTTCTTTTTCAGAGCCGCTTCGAGCCGGTGGAAAAAATAAATATATCCCCTCTGGCCTTAGGTAGGGTCAGTGAGTGACACCCCCGTCCCCTCACCCATCCACCCACCCTCCCCGATGGCTAAAAATACATCCCTTTGGATGGTTAAAAATACATAAGAGGCACCTGAAGAGTAGGGAGCCCGACGCAAGGGTGATGGGCAGCCCAGCGTGGCTCGTGGGCACGTTTCAGGCTGGTTTCTTCACTCC